AGTGAAGAGAAATACTACTAGACTATAATAATATTTTATCTAAATCTCTCTTATTATTTTATCATAAAGAATCCAGATATGATGCTAGTCAAGTCACCGTCCACTTTTAGGATACCGTTGAGTTTGGGCAATTGGAACTGAAATTCAAAACCAAAACACGAATCAAATCGGACTACACCGAACTATTCAATTCTTACACCCTAATTGGATGTTAGGGTGTAATTGATTATTTGGTCAAGTCTATACATTTAGTAAGTACTGTAAATAGTATCCCTTGGGAAATAACATTGTAAATAGTATCATTTTTGTCCCTAAAACTGCGGGCACAGATGGAATGGCATGACTATGAGTATCATTGAGAAAGAGGAAGATGCTAAAATTTTCAGTCTTAGAGGGATGCCGTTACCGTAAGATATTCAGTCATGAAGAGTGGTTGTGACTAAGTGCTTATTAGTCCTCATAAGGTACGACGTTGTCTGCTGTTAGCACATCCAACTTGTCTGTAGCTGCATCTATCTCAAAATTATTCACGCCATCGATTTGCTTCGGCACGTCGCTTACTTTTAGCCTACAAGTATTGCAAGAACAGATGAAATTCAACTTGAGAGCAATGAAATAAAGTTTTGGTGATCGTAAAATACGAATTTATCAAATACATGTCAACAATTCTTTATATGGTAAACATAATATATTACTCCGGTTGAGAGAGGATTCTTGAGGACGAAAACACAACACCCTGAAAGGAAATAATACAAAATCCAATATCATCAGGAAAAATTGAAAGTAACTTAAATTGCAAAGGGAAAAATTAACGAAACTATAGTCGTCTTGTGTTTAATGTTGGTGAATCGGGCAACCAGATAGCCAGCGATTCCATTTTGTTAATGTACGTGTTTGAAAGTGACATGGTTTCCCCCCTTCTTTTTCTTTTGTAGCCTGGTTGCGCTTTCTCTTGCTCCCTAATCCTTCATGGACTTCTGTCCTGTGAGACATTAAACAAGCAGCTGGAGAAACAGACCTATAATCTCAAATTCAGCAGTGAAGCCAGGATTCCAACGCTGGCTTGGCTAAACTTGTATGCTATACGAAAGGAAAGCTTATCGAAATTTTGGTGGAGTTTTGAGTGTTCCTTAGATATCCGAGTTTTCGAAACCCTATGAAAATTTTGACAGAAAGAACTAGATAAGGTGAGTGGTATTAGAATGATATCTGGCAGCTTGACCCTGCCTTCCTTTCCAAGTAACTACCGTTTTATTCTCTTTTCATTTTTCAGTCTCTCTTTAGATCTCGTTTGATAGCAGTTTTTAGATTTTGATGAAGTTCTGAAAGCTCGTTTGATTTATTTCTCTCTTATTAAATAGTATATATGCGAGGAGCCAAGAGCATCTCGGATGAGCAAGTAAAGCTACAGAAACCATCTCCCCACCAATCGATATTCTTCTCTCCCAACCCGTCCTCCCTGAATCGATCGGGATCATTACAAAGGTCTATATTCTGCACGAACTTGGTATGAAACAAGAGAGACCAGGAAAACGGTATGGTTGTGCATCTGATTTAGATTAATAAGAAACAAGAGAGAGTAGTTGGGAGGAGAAGAGAGAACTTTTGATGTCATCAAAAAGTTGAAGCAACTTCTCAATTTGTCTCGGTGGTTTGCAAATTACAAATTTCCACAAATATTGATCACAATTTCATAAAGGAGTAATGCAGACAAAGATGAAACCGAATACAAAATCTCGAGTACAGGGTAAGCACTCTTAATTGCTTTAGCTATAAACATTATTTACATGTTTAGTTTATTTTCATCCTTAATAAGACATAATTCAAAAAATATAGACCCTACTAAAACCATAAACAATTTCATATACTTTCTGCAACGATTCATAGAAAATTTTAAGAAGGCATGATTCTCATTAATACTAGCTAAAACAAAAATATGAGTTTGACAGGAAAACAAAACATGAGTAGTCTTAAAAGACAAGAATATTACAAGACACACAAAAGAAAGATCAATTGCTGGTTGTGATCTCCCAGTAAGTGTAGGACCCTTCGCTTTCGAGCTTGAGGGTCATCCTACTCTGAGAAGCTAATACCGTCTAAGCCTTCATAAAAAGTAAAAAAAATGAAATATTGCTGGTTGTGAATGCGATGCCATCTAATACATGGGCATGTACTGTTAGTACACATGACTCCAGTTTGAGCTCTGCTGATCCTGGTCTTCAAACACTTGCCACATTGAGTCCATCTTTTCCATCGGCTCCCTGCCCGTCGCCGTCTGCCACGTCTGCTCCGTCTGGCCCTTTTGCGTCGTCATTTGATGTATATGCCTAGCATTGCCACCACCACTGCTCTTTTTCCTTTCTCTTCTGTCATTGCTTATTTTGTTATCTTTTCTATGATTGACGACATCAATCTCATGTTTTCTATCATGCTTTCCCTGGTTTCCATCATCATCGGTCACAGTACCGTTGTTACCAACTCGTCTTTTACTTCTACTTCTGCTAAGCACTTGGTTAACTCCATGCTCCTCAACATGTTTTCCTTTGTTTCCGTCATCACCAATCAGAACACCATCGTCGCCACCCCTCCTTTTAGTCCTACTTCTGCTAGTTCTGTGGCTAATTTCGCGGTCCTTGTCACGTTTGCCTTTCTTCCCATCGTCAGCAATCACACTAGCATCGTTGCCACACTGCCTTTTAGTTCTACTTCTATGCACTAGGCTAACTTCAGGTTCCTCGTCAGATTCCTCCAACTCTTGCGACATCTTGTGCATCCGCTCCGTTTGCTCCGTTTGTTCCGTCTTCCCCACTCGACCTATATGACGCATTCGTTGCACATCCCTATCATCGCCACCACCCTGTCTTTCGCTTCTACTTCTTCGCAGCGGCGCTCGATTAATTTCATGTCCACCAACATGTTCGCTTTCGTTTTCATCGTCGTCACCAATCACAACACCATTGTTGCTACCACCCCATCTTTCAGTTCTACTTCTTACAAGCACCGGTTTAATTTTGTTAGCATTAGCGGTGCAACCCATTATTTGTTTACATATTCTTCTACTAAGCCATCCTAACAACCCACCACCTCCTTTTCTGCCACCACTTTTACTAGTCTCACCACCACCCATGATCTTGAGTTCGTTGTTGAGTTCGACTTGACTGTTTGTTGAATCCTTTTGATTCCATAGCTCTATCGTCTTGACTTGGTGTAAAGTTTTAAGCTCCGCGACGAGTTTCTGTGGATCGAAGTCGTCCGTCACGCCCAGAACCAACTTCCCTACCTCTCTGAATGGATATTTGTTAAGCACGCCATCAGAATTCACCACTTTCAGCAGCTTCTTCCAACATCCCATGCATGAACAACCACTAGTAAACTCCACCTTGAAACCAACATACTGAAGCTTCTGGTGATACTGAAGCGTCTGGCGATTACTACTCATGCTTTTTTCTGTGTGAGAGAGAGAAGAGGTCAGTGAATACAAGCGTCTGAAGATTTAACGACTGTATGCAATTGCATGCATCTCAAACGCATGCATGTTTATATAGTAACAAAATAAATCTACTTGAAGCAGGAATCCCAGCTAAAAGAGAAAACAAAACACCTTGAAAAGGGAAACGTACGTCAAGTCTCAATTCATCAGGAGAAACTTAAAAGCACCATAAAGTTCTAATAAAAAGGGAAACATAGATCCTAGTTCATCCCATTTATAAAAAAAAAAAAAAAAAAAAAAAAAACCAACACAGTAAGAATAACTTTGTATCGTAGGATTTACATGACACAAGTATATTGTCATAATGGTATCTTGTGTTAATAACACGACTATTTGTGGAAGTGTTTCTTCACATGACATTGTAGTATTGGCACAAGACGCCACTGTGGTAGTGTACTTGATCCATGCAAGTCACTTTCCTAGCATTAATAAAGAAAATTTATGATACAAGAGATTCCAAACTACCTACGAAAAGAGAATCAAAACACAAGTCCAAAAAAACTAACACGCCACCTTAACCAACTAACATAACCAGTGTCTCTTGGAATTAAAATCATCATAATGCTTAAGAGAACCAAAGGCCTGCCCAAAAAGTGTACTTACATGTCACTACCAGCTTGACATCTTCAGTCCAACAGTATAAAAGTAATGTGTGAATTTTTATCTATATGACATTATATTATTGAAACAGAACGTTACTTAAGAATGAACATATATCGTCCATTCAAGTTGCTTAAAAATTGAAACATTGGGTCTTGGTTATAAATGGCCGGTCTATTTGAAAGCGGGCTTAAAATATAAGATCAAAAACCCAGAAATCGGAGAAGTCGAATCCGAACCAATCCCATTCCGTTGGCGGTTGGATGGTTTAATCGTAAAACTTGGAATAAAACACTCTTCAGGTACAATCTTTAATCTTGGGGTTGTCTGCTGTACACTCTTCATGTACAATCTTTAACCTGGAAAAAGGTTTTTCTGAGTTCAATTGAGCTTTTGATTATGTAGGAAATTTGTTTTAGGTCAATAAATAATTTCATATTTCGTCGTAGGAACGTTAATGTATACTTTCTTTTTCCCTTGTCTTTGGGAGATTGGGAGACTGGGACAGTTTGATACTTATGAATGCTCTCTGCCGCGGATGCTTACTGTTTTCGTTCATTGCTCTCGTGTTTACGTGCATAACTTTGTGTTCTTTCATCTTATAGACACCAACATGTCGTCCTATGAGAACGTCGTTGGTGGGAAGCTGAATATGAAGGGAAAGGCTCTGGATGTGAAAGCCGCTGCTGGAACGAAGAAGAAAAAGAAACGTAATTTGAACCTTGATTTCCGTCTTTAGGGTCTTCTGAATTCCACTTGCTCCTCTAAACGTTCGTGCGGCCATCTCAATGTCATTACTTGGCTCAAAGTAAACTGCTTTCGGGTAGCCCGTCTCTCGAGAATGACCATTTTGTCAACTAAGCGATTCATAAAAATGAAGATTCTTAAGAGAGAAGTGAAACTGTCCACGGAAACGAAAACTCGAAATGATACAAATACCTTATTGTTTAACTACACAAATAAGGAATGGCATTTAGTCTCTTATTCTGGGTAAAAACCCCAAGGATATGACAGGATTATAATCACTGAAACTATAGCTACACATTCCAACTAGAGCAAGTGCCACATGAGCAAGGCCAGAGTGGCATAAAAAACCCTAACACTGTCGTTCTTCGTGCACAACAAAAACAAATCCACGGACCTTTCGATTTATAATAGCCACTCGAATAACCTTAAACTCTTTGTTTTGAGATGTTCAATCACCGGGTTTCATCCTCAAGAGCACGGAAACCACTTGTGAGGTCCTCGTGTAGCTTCTTAAATTTTGCCACAAGAGCTTCTTCCCCCTCAGCCGGATCCTCAAACTTTTGAGACCTGCATGTAACAGGTAAGAGGTTTAAGACCAATAAGATTTGAAACGTTTCCTGTTGTTCAGCATTATGAAATTACTTACACTAGGCGGTAAAAGAGATCTCCCAAACGGTGCTTGATTAGGCTGTAACTTATCTTTTGACCATCCATGCCAGCAGCTCTCTCTACAGCCTGCATATTGAGCACCACATAAAATCAGTAAAGGGCCGACGACCATTGCTGATTCAATTAGCCACTCCAAGGTGAACTCAGAAGTTATAAATGTATGACAGAAAGCTTAGTTGCGGTAAAAAGTTGAAAACAAATTTTTTTATCAACCTAGAGACAAATTCTTTAGACATCCCAAAGATATTGCTAACGCAGAAATGGTAGGTCATAACAGGAAAGGTAAATAAATGGCAAATAGTTCACCTGATTGGCCAGATTAAAGTAATGGATGATATTCCGCATCATCCAGACGGACTTGTAGAATGGGCAGAACTTGTCATATCTGTCCACCCACGAAAAACATGTAACAGATGAGTAAGCTTACCAGGCCCAACCAAAAACTAAACGGAACATATGAATAATTAAAACAGATATAGTTCAAAGAGAGGATTATAGAGCTGGAACTCACGGAGTAAATGCGTTCTGTGCAAGATAATCCTCCCTCAAGAGCTTTGCAGTCTCTAAGGTGATCTTATCTCCTTCAGCCAAAGCATCCTTTCCAACAAGCTGATTTAACCACAGATATCAGTTTAGGACTATCCAACCATCCATATATCAGCTAAACCTTGGAGATCTTTCAAACCAAATATCGATCTGATATTACAAAGCCTAAAATGTCCCCCTACTCTTGAAATTTACACGTTTTATAGGACTTATCATACTAACAAATGAAATGGTTTCTGTTTTTGGGATTGGAGAACCTAATCCATATAACAAGAAATAAAGACGTACTTGGACAATTTCATTGAGATCATCTTCTCGCTGCAAAACCTCACGTGCCTTTGTCCTGATGTTGATAAAATCAGGATCAAATTGATCATAGAAAGACTCTAATGCCTGTGACCAACAAAAAGGAATGAACAATTAATACCGCTCAATTAATGATACCAGCAAGAAAAGGCCAACAAGAAAAGGGGTAACAGTCTATGAACATACTGTTGAGTACTTTGAGTAGGAAATAAGCCAGTTCACAGAGGGGAAATGCTTCCTCTGAGCAAGTTTTTTATCCAGACCCCAGAAAACCTGGAAAAAAGATAAACTCCCATTGGTGAGAATCATAGAAGGCATCAACACGAAGTCTCTTATTTGGAATGTCATGCATAAAAATGAGATTGCAAATTATACCTGAACAATGCTAAGTGTTGCAGATGTCACAGGGTCTGAGAAATCTCCTCCTGGAGGAGAAACAGCACCAACAATTGTCACACTGCCATTACGCTCTGGCCCACCAAGACATTTTACTTTACCCGCCCGTTCGTAAAATGATGCTAAACGTGCTGCCAAATAAGCAGGGTATCCACTATCTGCAGGCATTTCAGCCTGTATATAAAAGCAAGAGAAATGCCATTAAAGGGATGAATGTTATATTTCATTTATGAAAAAAGAAAAAAGCAAAACTTCCAAAGTAGTTTGTGATTAAAATATGCCATGTGTGTTAAAAAGTGAGAGTCCAAACCAATAAAAACGCATCCTGCATAAAAATAAATTATAAGAGAGAATTACCAGCCGCCCAGAAATCTCACGCAATGCCTCGGCCCATCGAGATGTTGAATCTGCCATCATGCTGACATTGTAGCCCATATCTCTGAAGTATTCAGCAATAGTGATTCCTGAAAATTTCAAAGACAAAAGGTAAAGAATATGAACACACTTCCCAAAATAATATTTGACTCAGTTCACCACACAAGACCAGTAACATCAGCAAGGAAGTTACCCAAATATAAGTAAACTTTCCAGAAAAATTCAATGGAAGAGTCCAATTCCTATTTGAGCCATAGCTATGTCTATACTTTTCCAGGCATATGTAATGGACCATCAAAGGTGGTGAAGTGGACTATAAAAATAGCATATCATCCTCTTGCACCCGAAAGTTTTTAATAGATCGGTGAAACCTTAGTGAGACATAGCTTAAAAGGTTTACCAGTGTAGATTGAAGCTTCACGAGCAGCCACAGGCATGTTAGAAGTGTTGGCCACAAGTGTTGTGCGCTTCATGACAGATTCTTCACGACCATCGGGCAAAGTCATTGTCAGTTGAGGGAAATCCATAAGCACCTGGATCATTGATTAGTTTCAATTGATCAAATCCAAGACACTCAAAAAGCGTAACAAATGATCTGATTATAGAATACATACCTCTGCCATTTCATTTCCACGTTCTCCACAACCAACATAAACCACAGTGTCTGAGTTCGAGTACTGCAGACACGAAAAACATCTACTATGAGTTCCAGTGTATAAATAACTATAGGAAGTCTTTAATAAATAATGACATGTTTTTACCTTTGAAAGAGCTTGACTAATAACTGTTTTTCCACAACCAAAAGCCCCAGGAATGGCACAAGTCCCACCAAGAACAGAGGGAAAAAGGGCATCAAGAACGCGCTGATAAAAAAAATGGTCAGGAACCAGTAATCCCAAAAGATAGAAGAATCTATAAAGCAAAAATATAATCTACCTGCCCAGTGAGTAGAGGGGTATCAGCAGCAAGCTTTGATGCAACAGGCCTAGGTGTACGTACAGGCCAAGTCTGCAATTATGTAAAACAACTTAAATACAGTTTACAATAATGATCATAGTGGCAAGCATGAATACTCTGAAAGCTCAAACCAAAGAGCAAACTATACAGACCTGAAGCATAGTAAATTTCTTTTTTTGTCCTTGAAACTCAAGCTCTAATACAGTATCCTGCAAATGCATACAGGAAGAGTCAACTCACACCGTTCAAGAAAATCCATTCATGACTCAAGTAGTGCTTGCTCTATAAAGACAAACCTGTATCATGCATATAAATGCAAATGTATAAACATACTCATAACTTACTAAAGAAACCACGTTCATAGAATTATAGTAAATTTTAGTTACAATGATGACCAGAGAAATGGATACCAAATAGTAAATTAAAAGTCATAATCAAACCTTCAATGAATATTGACCAGGTGGTGCGACATAAGTAACTTTTCCCATAGCATCAGGAGGAAGTGCAACTCGGTGCTCCATCAGACTATTTTCGAAGACAGTCTGCAATGCAAAAGATACACATGCCCAAACTAAGATGCAACTTAACGAAAATGATCATACTTGAGTAGTACAATATATTTCAGAAATTTTTTCACAAACCAAGAGTTCAATGCTACAGAACTTACAGCATACAAGTCTCCACCGGTAAGATGATCACCTTCACCTGCCACCCACAGTTTAAAATTTTCAAAATCAAGCCATAATAAAAACAATTTTTTCTTTCTGATAAATAGCTATACATCAATTTGATTTAGGTTACCTATTTTTTTTGGCTGAAACTCCCAAAGTATATCTTTGTCAAGAGCTGGGACAGATACACCACGTGGGATATAGACATCACCAGATATCTTAGCAATAGTTTTCAAGGGCCTCTGTCATGATATAAAAATAATAAATCATTAAAAAAAAAAAAGAGAGAGAATAAGAAAAGAAGCGAGTAAGCATAGAAAATTGCTCCAATCTAAGATAATTTTCTCAAAACTTTTGAGGTTTTGTGTTGATTAAATATAATACGAAGTACAAATGGAATTAGATTAGTTCGTAAAACAATATAGAAAAAGGGATAGCTGCAAAGTAATATAAACAAACCTGGATTCCATCAAAAATATTTCCCAATATCCCAGGTCCCAACTCCACTGATAAAGGCTGAAACACCAACATAAAAAAATATTAGCTGATGCAGTTGAAACAACAGAAAAAACAAGAGGGTAAAACAAGACGTCAAACCCACCTTGCGAGTACGTAGAACCGGATCGTTCACCATCAACCCAGCTGTTTCCTCATAAACTGAAATGGACAGAAAAACTTATGGTTATACCAAATCCAAACGTAAATTAGCTGATTATTTACTTCTCTGAAATGAGGGAAGCCAAATATGAATAGATATGACTGCAAAAAAAAAAAAAAAAAAAAAAAAGAACAAGAAATAACAAATAACCTTGTATTGTGGCAGAATCTCCTTCTAACCGAATAATTTCACCGATCAAATTATCATGTCCAACACGAACTAGTTCATACATAGCAGCTCCAGCCATGCCATCGGCAACCACGACTGGTCCAGAGACCTATCAATTATATATTTTCCACATCCAATTAGCCACCAATACGCATACACAAAAAAAAAAACTTTTGACCAAACCTTTTTTGTACATGAATCATATCGACAAACCCAAAAAAGCGAAGATTGATGTGATTTGCAATTAAAGCAGCTGAAAAGTACTCAAATTTTGCTGCTCCAGCAACAAAGATCACTGAACAAATTAAACTTTAGCATTTTTTTTCCCCACCAATTAATCAATCACTCAATTTTGGGGCAATGCAAATCATATCAGCAAAATTCATCGATCAAGTAAACATATTGATCACAGTAACACATAAATTCCACTACTTGAATCAATTAAACCCAACTAAATGTTTTCAATTAACCATCAAATCTGAATAATCACAAAATTCACAGAAACAGGGCACTGATCCAATCACTTCAAAATTCAATCAGCAACAACACAAACAAAACAGATCGAATTTAATATCGAATTGGATGAATCTGATCCATTCAAATCGAGTGTGGAAGTGGAACGAACCTTGCGGACGTAGCCATACTCGCTCTCCTTCTCGGAGTCCTCAAATGTGGTCAATCGGGCACCGTACACCGCCGGCATTTTGGGCGCGGATCGGGTGGATATTTCGAGATCTGAGTCTCAAAGATCGACCAAAACCTTAGGGTTCCGACCGAATTGCAGAGAAGGTTGAGAGAGAGAGAGCAGGAAGATAGAGAGGGAAAGCTTTCAGATGACACGGACTGTTATTATGCGATTGGTATAATTGGCAGAGAGAGCAACGAGTGGGATCCGCTGCGGGCGATTGTATTATATTTAGCGGCATGTGGCTGGTAGAATCCGACACGTAATGGGGATCCTACGATTCGAAGGATAACTGATGACCTGGCGAAAGTTGGTTGAGTGGTGTGTTCAAGAATAACCAACGGTGCTTTGCCACGTGCCTGGTGAGTGATGCTTCGGCGAAAGTTGTTTCGGTTGGTTTTTTTCGGGTTTTTTTTTTTTTTTTTTTTTTTTTTTGGATGTGTACTGTCGCTGGACTCTTACCATATCTTTGCCTGACCAGTATTAACTCTACATGTTCCATGCGTTTGTTTTTACTTGGGTTAATACGTGCAATATGAGCCAGATAAATTTAAAATGAGTGCTGCTAGGCTCATCCTTTTTTTCTTAATTTTCTACACGCTTTATTATCACACCTCCTATGAAAAGTAAAGCAGATAATTGACATTTAGTATTACGGTCTAATGGTATTTCAAATTTTGTTCACTGGCCATATCGCCAACCCGATTGCCACTTCCTTGCCTTTTCTTGGTGGGCTGATTAGGGTAGGTTGTGACCAATTAAAATGAATTTAAGTTAAGTCATTTATTTGTTATGTCAAAATGTGAGATGGACAAGACTGGACATAATGATGAGTTATGAATCCACAATAGAATGATTACCTAACCTATCCTCGTACATAGTTTACAAGCTTTGTTTTACATGTCCTTATCAATCGAATAATATTCCTAAAACTCAACTTCACCCAGCTCATCAAAGAGGGCCTAAAAGCATCCCCATTTCTTCCCAGATCTTTGTTGTCTTTCCTTATCCTTTCTAAGATCCCAAATTAAAAATCACCTCCCCTTCCAAATCCCGTAACCCAAACTTTATGCCATTTTCCAAATTCACACATTCGCGACCAAACGCCCCAAAAGTCTCATCGATTTAAATTCCTTCACCATTTCGTTTTTCTATTTTTCAAAAAATAAATATTAAAAGTTGTAAATGATTTTCTCTACTAATTAATAAAACATTCATTGTCAATCTAAATTCTATGAAATTACCAGTTTAACCCTCTAATTAAAACAAAACATGAATAAGAAATATAGGGTAGAAATGTAATTTCACACAACCAAATTTTACTTTTTTTTTTCAAAACCTTACTTACATGTAATCCTAACATATCTCTAATTAAAAATTAAAGTTAAAATTTAAAAAAAAAATTTCACACTCTCACATTCTCTATCACTCTCTTCCTCTCTACTTCTATTTCAAAAACAAAAATAAAAAATTTTCTCACGCACTTTATGTGTGCTCATATGCTAGTATATATGAATAAACTAGACGAAAAGATTGTCTATGGATACAGATTGATTTGTTTTTAATTTTTATTATTTTTGCTTAGGTTTTAGATGTCATTTTACAAGAGGATAAATATATCATTAAAATTTTCATTCAAAAAGGTGGGCGGTGAAATAAGTGCGTGGGTTTATCGCCACATTTTTGTAAATTTGTACAATATGTCGTTGTATTAAATGCATAAACAATTAAACTGGGGTTCCTTAAATTTTGACATATAAATCTCGTCCAATATAATATATTGGTGTATTATAGAATTTTTTTAGTAATATTTTATTTACATCCAAGTTCTCCTTATTTCATTTTGTTTGATAGACCAAATGGTAACACAAAAACATAACTGAATTGAAAGGAGAAAACATTTATTTTCTCCTCATTTGTCCTATTTTTTATTTTATCAATTATCATTCATTGCACTTGAATTTAAAGCGCTCTTCTAATAATGTCAAAGATAAATATTGTTAGATCAAATGATTATGTGTTCTCTTTATTATAAGAAAATATACACTATGTTTGGATGAAAAATATAAGATTACTAAGGAATTTTAATATGACGGAAATTGAAATGACGAGATTTCAATTTTTAGAATTTATGAATTTTTTTGTTGGGTTAACCTAAAGAACAAAGGAAAGATCATAGAATTAGGAAAATGACACCTATTTACATGAAATTTAAACTTGGAAATTGGAGATCCCAAATTTCAAGTTTTTTTCCCCGCTGAAATTCTAAATTTTTATGTTTTTAAATTCAAACAAGTGAATTGGTGTATATTAATTTATAAATTCTAACTTTTATCTAAATTTCAAGTTTATATTTATCAAAACATAGTGTAATGGTTATGACACTATCTTAAAGGAGTGGAATTAGTAGAGTCGAATGAATAACATGAGGGGTGATTATCACATCTACTCAGGTAATGATTGATAAACTAAATTTTTAGATTAACTTTGTAAACTATATGTTGTAACACTAGTAGAATATAAATATATTAATTAACACGTAACTAATAATTTAACTATCAACAATCTTGTTATAATATTTTACAAACTTTAATTTAAATAGAAGATCTTCTTACCATTTTTTTTTTTTAATATGGTTTCCGATTCCATGTCAGAATGATTCTTTTATTTTTGTATATTTAAATATTTTTATTTTTTCCCATCCATTTAGTCGTTTATTCAAAAAAATAAAAAATAAAAGTATATTTTGATTTTATTTAGTTAGATTTGTGATCTAGGTGTGGTGTGGTGTGGTGTGGTGTGCAAGAGTGGAAAAGGACAAAGACAGTGAAGAAGGCAAGTAGGGAAAGGAAGTGAGGTGGCACATGCTAGTCCATGTCCTATTTGTCCTTATCATCTTTATTATCATTTATTTTTGTATTATGTATATACCGCTAAATTCAATTAAACAAAGCATTGTTCAGATTTCTGTAGAGTATGTGACAGTGTTAGTGAGGATAGTCTTGTTAATTGGTCCACTGAGTGAGCACATTACACATGAGGGGTGATTATCACATCTACTCAGGAGAAGGATCCTCGCCGGATCATTTTTTTTAGGGATACAAGAGATCTTATGATCTCATCCGTTTATTGTATATCATGCAGTTAGTTTTTGTTGGATACTATTCATATTTAATTTTAAATTTTGAAATGATTTATGACTGAACAATGTACGATGAATGGGTGAGATCACGAGATCCCTAGGAAAAGGGTCCGACAATGATCATTTTCCATCTAATCACTCATAACCTCCTATCTCTATTTTCTATGTTGTATTATATCTAATAATAAGCTTTTGTCATACAATGTAACTTGAATTATCATCTCAGTAAAAATTAGATTTTTGAATGATTTTTTTTAGTAAAGAAGTCCCTTAATTTATTAAAAATTACTAATTTCATTCATATTATTATATTCAAAGCTATTTTATCTAATTTTTTGTCAACTTAAGTCACTTGACACACTTTAAAGTATACTACCATCATTTCTCGCCTATAGGCCATTAACATTTTCACATAGATTGCAAATCTAACATCTAATTTACCCTTCAAAGTTAACTTCATACACGATTTATTTATGAAAAATTACCAATCTATTATCCAATGTATATAGCATGCAAGTAACATGACTTAAGTTGACCCAAATTGATTATAGTAGCTTTGAATCTAATATGAAGAATGTAATTGAATATTTGTATGATTCAAGGGCTGATTTTTCTGGAAAAAAAAAAAAATAGTTTGGAGACTTAATTTTCACTCAAGTAATAATTCAAGGACTAAATTGGCAGTTCACCCTAAATTTAAAGTCTATAAATAGGGATGACAATTTAACCCATTAAATCTGAAAAAAATAGTTTGGAGACTTAATTTTCACTCAAGTAATAATTCAAGGATTAAATTGGCAGTTCACCCTAAATTTAAAGTCTATAAGTGGAGATGACAATTTAACCCATTAAATCTGATATATGTAGATAACCACCCAAATAGAGAGAATTTAGGATTGAAAGTTCGGGTATATTTCGGATATGGGAAAAAACCGTGAATATTTTCGATTACGGTATCATCGATGGTTACAATGGTCCAAATCCGTATATGTCCCCGAGTCCGTCCCTAATAATATATATTTTATTATATAATGTAATGTATTTTTTTTTAGAATACAATACATATTTTATTATATACATTACATATACACACACATACACACACACACATATATATATATATAGAGAGAGAGAGAGAGAGAGAGAGAGAATAATATATATTTTATTATATAATGTAATGTATTTTTTTTTAGAATACAATACATATTTTATTATATACATTACATATATACACACACACACACACACACACACATATATATATATATATATAGAGAGAGAGAGAGAGAGAGAGAGAGAGAGAGAGAGAGAGAGAGAGAGAGATTAGCCCTGGGAATTAGAAAGTTGCATTTGTGGGAGACCCCGAAGGTTTTAAAATCAATGAAAATTCAATAGTGTTTATAGAAAGATTAGCCAACATCATCAATGTTTTGAATTTAATGCTTTAATTTTTATTGATCCCTTTGTTTTATACATCAAAGACTCCAAGTTTATCATTTATATTCAAGAGTTTGAGAGCCAAGGAGTTGATGCATATAAAGGTTATAATGTGTCAATTGAACGATTTTTTTTTTTTTGTATTAATGAAGATGAATGTAACCGTTAACCAATGAGGAATCTGTTAACCAGTGGGTATGGGAATGAATATAGCATTTCCGTCTCTAAACCAAATTGTTGTCATCCTGACTATCAATGCGGTCCTTAACCACTAATGAACCACTAATGCTTTTTTAAATGAAAGCTTATTAATTTTCAGTTTTTAATTAAAATCTTTTAACTTTGTACACATCATCATTAGTATTAATACATACATATATATATATATATTTATTTATATATAAGCAATTGCACTTTATTTATTTCAAAATCTTAATTAGCCATTCCCTTACCCTAGCATATTGGTAAATTGATATGGTAACCGTGCAATTATATTACAAATTGTGGCATCTGCATGGTCTCTTGAATTTGGATTTGAATTTTGAAACAAATTTTGATTTCT